CAATTATAATCATGTTTTTATCGCTATTCACTACATAAAATGTTATTTTTTTCCCCCACAAAGGCAGTGAGTTGGCTGTATGCAACACCCCAAACACCATATTTGCCTCAAATCGTTCCATTTTGACCAAGCTATGCCACAAAAACCACTGTTTCTGTGTGTACTGTTGCTATGGAAATACAATTAATCAGTTACTTTTGAAACACACAAAAAAAGAAGCATTGATTTGGTGACTATGTGACCAGAATCTAAAGTCACAAGAAGCACTTTTTTTTTTACAAGATTTTAGGTCAGAACAGATTTAGAGACTGTGGATGGGTATTGTTGACCTACAGTGAACGGTCGAGAAAGAAAGGTCCACTCAACTAATTAATCTGACTTTTAGCTTTAACACACATCAAAGGAGACACTTTTACTGGAAAATTGCTCCCAGCAGTACGTATACGCCCGAGAAGAAAGAGCATGATTTATGACACAAACTGTTTCAAGCAAAGTCTTGTACGCTTCACCGAACCGCACTTTAAAGAAATTCTTAAAAACAAATCTTTACCTATTACTCCTTGTCCTCCTCTGGTCATAATACCCTCATTTTTACCTCAAAGATTTTTCTAAGCCCGCTTGAGAGACCTGTGGTTTCTTTTGTTGGTTTTAAACACTACTTGCTCAGAGATCCAGTGGAGGAGTGTGAAATAACTAATGTGTTCTGTCATTACTGCAGGGTGGCAAAGTGCTGCGCAGCTCCAAATGAGTTCTGGCTAAACATCGGGGGGAAGCCAAACAGGTGGCTCATTGACTGATTCACTGGCTATTGAGGAAAACAGCTTGCAGACTTCAGTAAAAGGACTTTTCCCTCATTTTTTTCTCCTGTCTCTGGTGGAGAAAAGACTGGCAGGGAGGCGGAGACAAAGTGTGCGGAGCAAAGTGAGTGCTGCGGTGAGCCGGCAGCAACCGAACCCTAACTGGAGGAAACCGCAGGCAAACGAGCTGCAATCAGTGAAGGGCAGCCACAGCAGTTTGCACATTCACACTCACACAAATGCACAGTTTGACAAAGTAGGGAGTAAAGCTGTGGGTTTGTGCTCGTGCTGCAGCTAAACGTACTCTACAGCCAAATTCTGCTACAGAAAGCCGGACGTCGTCCAGATTATTTGAGAGATCCACTTCCACTGTGGGCTGCTGCACATGATGCCAAGAGAGCAGAGCAAAAGGGTGCACTGAAAGGAGTACAGTCTATTGCACTAATGGATGCTACCCATATGTTTTGGGTCTGCTTAAAAGCCTGGGAAAGTGATTGAAAAGCTGTTTGACATCTGCTATGCTGTTTGCTGTCGCTGCTCTGCTGCTCTCCGAGGCCCGGCACCGCGATGATTACTGTCATTATGAGTGAAGTTGCTTCTTCAAGTGATTCATCTTGTTCCAACAGCCTGATCCTGTCACTGTTGTCCTCCCAGACACTGAAGACTTGACCTTTTTTTTTTTTCTAATCAAATCTTCATGTTCCGTGTTATTTTGGATGTCTCATTGCAGACTTTTCGCTGTGAACTCTGTATATCTGTCATGTGGAGATTCACAGAGGGAATGACAAAAAGAAGAACCAGCAGGACCTCAGGAGGAGGCTCTGTCTCTGTTTCATGTCTTGTTTCTTATCCTCATTCTCAGAGTTTGTGCAGAGGTGTGCCTAGATTATATCATGTTCTCCAAACAGCTGCAGTTTGTAACCAAAGAAATCAATGACATTTATAAAGGTGGTGTGGTTGGTGCTGGTGATGAATGTTTTCAAGGTACGCCGGGAATTTTAATGTACTCGCACTACACTCTACCTCGCTGATTTCCATACCTGTTTGCACCTCTAGTTCACTAATCATTTTTATAGATGAAACTGTGCAGTAGCTCATAAGCAGTTGAGAGGAGTCTCCTGTAACATTAAAAACCCCCTCTGGTAAAAGTCTGGTTTTCACCATGTTATTTATGCTAGAAGGCAAATCATAAGAGAAAAAAGCAGTTAAGCCAGGGCTGAGCATTTCCACCTTGAAACTGGAGTGTACAGGATTCAGCACGCATTCAGATTTTCAAGGTTTTATACAGAAAAACACAAGGAAGTAAATCTGTCAGGCTGGTTCTTTCTGTATTATTATTCCACTTTGCAATCAGTGTCTGCTCCAAATTGCTGACACATTACAACTTGCCAGTGTGTAGGGAGTTTTACAATGTTTGAGAAGATCAACAGGTGAGCTGGTGTGCTTGAGCTGCAAAGACTTGAGAGTGGTACATGAAAATAGAAGCAGCAAGTTAGTAGATGTGAACATTCTAGACAAAGCTCCAGTCTAGAGTTACAACTGAGCTGTTTTATGGCAGGAATCAGGGCTGCACGATATGTTGTTTCAGTATTGACGCTGGGATGTGCGCATACACAACAGTCACAACGCTGGACTGTGTGATGATGGCAAGTGAGGCTGAAACACATCATGCTACAACTTTTCTTTCTGCTTGGTACAAAAAGAAAAGGCGAAGTCTTTTTTTTATTGTATTTTATTTAAAACAGAACTTGTTGACATGCAGACTCAACATATGCACAGCAAAATGAGAAGGGAACACCAGAGAAACATTGAAAAGGAAGATTTGGTTGCAAAAAGAAAACACTTGAAGCTTCAATATTTCCATACAACTGCTTCTTTTTGCAGCCACGTCTTTCTTTAGTGCTTAGCTGGCTGTGCCACCATATGAGGCAACACAACTCATCTATTCGACCATTTAAAAGAGCACCACAAAGCTAAGAAGCCAGATCCAAATGCCATCTAAAGCAAAAGCTGTTTTGAATGCCTTTGCCACCATATGATAAAGGTTGTGCGATACATTTTCACCGCAAAAAGGAGATAATATCAGCTAACATTGTTACCAAAGAGGGTTTTAGAAACATGACGCCACGTCTGTATTATAGCAGACAATGTGGTCAACATGATAAATGCTGCCCTGAGTGCACCGGGTTGCAGCGCTTTGGCCACAGAGTACATCTTGCACCAATTCTATATTTACAAACCAGTTTTTTCATACCTCTCGCCGATATATTGCAGAAAAGCAAAACATTGCAATGTCAGTTTTTTTTTTTAAATATCATGCATCCGAGTAGGAAAGGCTTATTTTCATATGGGAAAAAAAATATAAATATGTGACTTTGATGCGCAGAGTTTAGTTTTCAGGGGTTCAATCAACAACCAGAGAGAGTCTAAAATACTGTTTACTCATAAACGCATCATTAAAAATAATCCTGCAAGGTGTCTGTTCACATAAAACTTTTATAAGCTTCCTTGCTACACTTTCCACTGTGGTGTTGTTA